TCACTCTCCTAATTTCTAAATTAAACTTTAAAAACCCCAAAAATAAAAAAGTTAAAAAATAATAATTTCCAATTCCAAATCCAACCCAAAGACAGCGTGTACCATCTAATCATAGAAGGACTCAATCTCTCGATCCAAATCAATCAAAATCCCCAAATCCTAAACCAACTACAAAACGATGTCTTCTTCCCCAGCCCTACATTTACACCTCTCCTTCCTCCCTTTCCCTCGTTCCCAATCCTTAGGCTTCCCTCTCCAATCTCTCTCGCTCTCTCCGTTGCTCGCTTTCTCGTTTACAGGGTTTCTGTAGGGTTCCGAATCCCCAATTAGGCCCCTGCTCTCGGTTTTTGAGGATTTTGGGTTTCGTTTCTTGATTTGGTGACGACCCAAATGATGCAGAGAGCGCCATGGCTGAGTCTCGGATAGGTTTAACAATGTGGAGCTCTGTCGCGAACCGGAATTCGGGTACGGAATTCAGGGATATGTGGTTTATCGGCTGCAGGTTTCGTCTTCGATCGGCGGTCGATTCGTACTCCGTGGCTTGCGAGGCATTTTCTGAACACCGTCTTTTTCTGATTCCGGTTGGGGGTACAAGCAAGCAGCTTTGATAGGATTTGCGAGGATCGTTTTCTGCGTTTTCGCTCTGAAGAACAAACAAAAGTTGTTTCTTTGGGGAGATTGTTTTCGTTATGGATTCCTGTAGTGGTTTGGTTGGTGGAAAATCTGATTGTGACGATGGCGGCGTTGTGGAGAAAGATCCGACTGGGAAATACTTGCGGGTACCAATTTCGAATTCTTTTGACTCTCTAATTTTAGAATTTTAATTGTTTGTTTGTAAATGCATGGTGTTGGTTTTAGGATAGAAATTTTCATCTTCTTGCTTGCTTTTTTTTTGGATTTGGTGATAGAATTCTTATATGAATTTGTGTTTGTTCCTCCAGTATGACGAAGTGTTGGGGCGAGGAGCATTCAAGACTGTGTATGCTTCTCTAACCATTTTCTGAATCGGTTTCTTTCTTGTTGGTTTCTAAGGTTCTAAGTATTTTTCATTTGCGAATTTATTTTTGAACTTATTTGTATGCTCTGTAAAATGTAGATATAAGGCATTTGATGAGGTCGAAGGAATAGAAGTAGCCTGGTGCCAAGTGAATATTGAGGATGTTTTGCAGTCGCCAGAACAGCTTGAAAGATTGTATTCGGAGGTTCATCTTCTGAAGTCATTAAAACATCAAAACATCGTCAAGTTCCATAATTCTTGGGTTGATGATAAGAACAAGACCATCAACATGATAACAGAGTTATTCACTTCCGGGAGTTTAAGGCAGTGAGTTTCGCTGACTTTTTTTAATAGCAATTCTTGTTTTTACGTGGCTTACATTATCAAATACTAATTGCTACTAGTCTGGATTTAGGTACCGAAAGAAGCATAAGAATGTTGATATGAAGGCCATTAAGAACTGGGCAAGGCAGATTCTTCGAGGCTTGCACTATCTGCATTCACACAATCCTCCAATTATTCATAGAGATTTGAAGTGTGACAATGTATTTATTAATGGAAATAATGGAGAAATTAAAATTGGAGATCTTGGGTTGGCGATAGTCA